GTGTGAAACCATCTATTACCAAGAACACATCAGTATAGGAGGATTAACTGTTCACATGCAGTTTAAACATCAAAGTGTTTGTATGAAGTAATGGAAAATAAGCAATTTGTTTTGTCATTCTCTGTTAAAACATAGAACACCCCTTTTAAAAGTAAATAGTCTTTATTATAAAAACAGAAAGATTAGAAGCATTCAGTCTATCGAAGAGCACTGCTGTTAAGTAAAATGCCATTAATACTGCCTCAGACAGTACAATGGGTGTTTTGTCCTCTTATCAGTACCATCAGTGCACTGGGTCAGTACCTGCTGTTGCTTGTTATACATAAGCAGACAGATGTGATTGCTGTCTTTAGGTTTATTTTTATGCATTATGGCATACAGCTTTCTGATTTCTGGGAAAAAATTAAACAGTACTTAATTGGCCTCTATATCAGGTGCTTCTAACATCCTTTTCCACATTTTATCTGTGTGGCTAGATCATCTTTTTAATAGAAGAGAGTGCAGTCATTAATGATACAAGTATGGCATTTCAACCACCTTGAGGATGTTGCTGTGATTTTCATTAATTACCAGACCACTTCTATGGACCAGCTAAAAGCTCTTTCATCATCTTTCCCTCACATTGTTCAATGTATTTCTTCATTTTCATCTTCCTTACTGAACCTCCCCTAACAACAAAATTTGCCTTTTTTTAAATGTTAGTATGTGAGTTATCCTATTCAAGTCCCTCAGACTTCTCAGAAGACTGTGAGAATTTTACAATATATAAAAAGAACCATTCTGGTCAAGACCAAAGGTCAATCTATTGACATTGCAACGATGGTCAAAGTAAAATGCTCAGGGAAGACTGTATGAACAGGACTGACATGTATTTTGTTTCTCATTCATTTGTTCTGATTCCAGCCATTCAAAGCTCAAAGGCTTTCAGACTTAGACGTAGTTTCCGTGAATTTGGAACCATTCTATGGTCTTCCTCATTCATGAACTTGCCCAGTTTTCTTCTTAAAGCCATATAAAATTTTCTATCTTTATGTGACTTCTGATTTTATACAAGTTGGTAATTAGTCTTCTCAGGCATCTCTCTTACTGGCTGCAGAGTCCTATTCTTTAGAGTATTGTGTTTATCATTTCTCACTTGGAAACAGCATACCTTGGCTTTGAAAATTCTTGTTCAACTTCTCTGACCTTTCCCTATTTCCCTTTTGAAATAAAAATCCATGTCTGCACTCAGCAGTGAAGATGCAATTGGATTAATGATTTGGGACAGTTATGTTCTCTGGCTTTTTTTTTTTTTCCTTTCCTGATTATATTGAGTGTTGATTTTGGTTTTCTGATTGATACTGAGCACTGCAATAGCAGATTCTTGGTAATATGCATCACTGCCCCATGATCTGCTTCCTGGGCAGCAATGGTTACCTTAGAGCTCATCAGTTTGAATGTGAAGTTAGATTTAAACTTTAGAAGCCTAAAACACCTTTCAGAAATCCAAGTAGCCTGTACCATTCTTTATCCACATGATTCTCAACAAAACCAAAAAACCAGAGACTGAATATGCATCTAACCCAAAGGCTGGTCTTTTGCTTTCAGGATTATATTTAATAATATAACTAATAAGGATTAGCAGAGAAATAGCTATTTTTTTTCCCCACTACAAAAAGTGCATGAATAGAGGGGATATATTTAGGAGGCACTTTGGAAGAACAGATGATTAACATCTTCCTTAAATCCATTTACAGAGAGTGTTGACATGAGGTCTTGGCATTGAAATTAGAGAAGGAATTGAAAAATGAATGGCTTAAGGCATAGGCTTACACCTAGGGCCTGAGTTCTTTTTTTTATGAGAACAGATCACAGGTCATCTGTATTAAAACAAGGTGGGTAAACAGATAGATAGATAGATATCTATATACATAATATCTTTGCATACGTATAATTTCAGAAACAGAAGAATGAATCTCATATCCTCTATTTAATTTAGTTTATTGGTTCTGAATATTGACTACAAGTTCAGTCCAAGTTAGCTGCAAATGAATCCCATTGTTTATAAAATTTGACCTTTTTTTGTTATGAATATTTCTTAAAACCTTAAAACCAGAATGTTTGGAACTAACAACAAGGCAGACATCTGCTTTTAAACAGATGGCATGTCTTCATTTAGGTTATCTTGTTCGTTTCTGACTCTCCATTCCTCACTCCTAGTCTCCGTCTTTTTGAAGTTGGTGCCACTTGTGCAGAGAAGCTCCCATTGATTTTTCTTCTCCTGTTGTGACTGAAACTTTTAGTCTCTGGGATCTCAATAGAATGTTTTCTGGTGGTCAGATTGAGATTTTCCAGAACTAGTAACAGAGCTTTTGTAGTTAAGAGCAAGTTAACTTGGTTTGCACAGACTTTGTAACATAATATTTGATTCAGGATTTATGGATTTTATTTGTTTTAAGATTTTGCTTTAAATTACCTAGACAGTAATATGGTTAATGAAGCCCATTACTGGTAGATTGAATACCAGACTAGCAGCACCTTATCCAAAGAAGTGTGATTTTGAGAATTGTGGAGGAAATGCTAACTGTTGTTCAGAAAATACAAACAGTTCTGGTTTTACTTGCTCTTTGACAAATAATAGATGGGCAGCCTTTGAGAAGCTGCAGAGGCATCTGACCTGTGGGACAGCGACTGTTCTTTGTGCATGATCAACCAACTTCATCTGCACACAAAACCAAAACCATATTTATTTTCTTCAGTTCTTTGCAGTTTCCAATAGACTGCATTTTTTGTGTGATGGGTGTGAATGTGAAATCTTATTGTTGAGGCCAACCCTAACTCTTCCCAGAGTGGTAATTCATTTTTCAGTAGTACATACCATATGCCTAATCTGAAAGTAGGAGATTTGATTGTTCTATGTTTAGCTAAGTGCTCACTATATATACTTTTATTAAAAAAAAAAAAAATCATCGACTCACAGAATTTTGCTGAGTTTGAAGGAACTCCTCTCCTGTCCCTGCACAGCACTATCGCCAAGAGTCACCCCATATGCCCAAGAGCATTGTCCTAACTCTTCTTGAATTCTGGCAGGCTTGGTGCTGTGACCACTTTCCCTGGGGAGCCTGATACAGTGCCCAACCACTCTCTGGGTGGAGAACCTTCTTCTAATATCCAACTTAAACCTTCCCTGACACCACTTCAGGCCATTTCCTCAGGTCCTGTCATTGTCTCCACCAGAGAGAAAAGATCAGTGCCTGCACCTATTCTTACTCTCATGAGGAAGTTGTAACTGCAATGAGGTCTCCCCTCAGTCTCCTCCAGGCTAAGCAGACCAAGTGACCTCATCACTCCTCACATGGCTTCCCCTCAAGACCCTTCACCATGTTCATTGTCCTCCTTAAGATGCTCTCTAACAGTTTTTCTGTTAGAAACAGTAATTTCTTATGGTGTGGTGACCAAAACTGCACACAGGACTCAAGGAGGTCATAAAAGAAAATCAGGTTTGATAATAAGAGGACTTTTACTGTCATGAAATCAAGACGGCTGTGATCAATGGCAGTGTTGTCTTTCAGGTGTTTTTCAATACCTCTTAGCATAATCTTTTCCATCCCTTTACGCTTTACCAGGCACTAAAGTGAAACTGACAGTCCTGTAATTCCTGGGGTCCTCTTTCTTGCCCTTCTTTAAAATTTTGACAAGGCTCACCGGTTTCCAGTAATCTGGAACCACTCCGAATTCCCAAGACCACTCAAAAAATATCAAGAGAGGTTTTGTGATGACATCACCTGGCTCTTTGAGAAGTCTTGAATGAATCCCTTCTTGCTCCATAGACTTGTAGGGATCCAACTGAAGCAGCAAGTACCACACAAGTTCAGGGTCGACTGGGAGTTGGTCATTCTCACAGTCATGGTCCTTCTGCTCAGGGCACTGTGATCCCTTGGTCAATCATCCATGTTGAAGACAGAGGCAAATAATGCATTAAATGCCATTGCCTTGTCTCTGTCCCTGTTTGACCATCCTCATCCTGTAAAGGGATGAGGGTTTGTTTGCACTGCCTATTGCCATGGAGATATTTTTAAAAACTCTTTTTATTGTCCTCCACATTTCTGGCCAGCTTCAACTCCAGTAGAGCTTTGGCCCCATGAATTTTCTCCCTACAGTGACAAGTTGTACAGTGACTCTGTATTCTTCCCATATCAATAATGTCTCTTATTCTAGTCCCTGGAGACAGCTGGGTCCTGTCTGCGTGAGGAGGCCCTCCATTCGCTTTAGAAAGGTGTTTCCTATTACAACTACCCTTCATTTTTCTGTTAACAGAGGTCTTGGTTCAGAGTACAGGTGGTGTTGTTTTAGGAGGCCACAGTATCCCAGAAATACCTTCACCCACCTCATCAGTAGTCTAGCCTTCTGGTTCCAGAGCCTCACATGTATTGTAGAGGGTGCCAGTCCTACCTGTTGAATTCTGAGGAGGTGGAGGAACCTTCCTCCTAGTACATGCGTGACCTGCTTCCAGCCTTCATCTTTGAACAGACCCTTGGCTAACAGTCCTTTGACTAATTACCCTGCAGGGTTCTGAGTCCATCTGCTTCTCCACTATAATGGAGGTTCATGACTCCTGAGAGTCTTGAGACTGTGAGACTCTGAAAATAATCAGTCTTTTGTTTGTTTGCTCAATACAATGTAGCCTGTTCCCTTCCTTCTGTATCTGGTGGCCAGCTCCTCAAGCACAGCTCACCTTCTGTGAAAGAATGGTCAGCCCCAGCCTCATGAACAGGCACCAGGCACTCGTGGCAGCCTCTGATCTGGAGAGCTCCATCTCCCACCAGCAGGTCTGGCTGGAGCCTCTGACATGGCTGCTTCAGTGAGTCCCACAGCTACTTGTGATGGAGGTTTAGGGCAAGTCAACACCCTAACTGAGGAAGCTTGAACTAGTACGCTGGTAAGACTGGTGTTTGTAAGATGTGAGATGGCTGAAAGAAGGGTTTTGGTTTTAATGTTTTAACTTGTGTTCTGTTCTTTAGAGTACCCGAGTAGCTTTAACCCACCTGGAGTCTGTGCCTGAGAAACTGAGCCTGTTAGAAGATTGCAGAGATACTGGAGTGAGAAAGATTTCATTTGACTCTCTCAGTACTTCTAAAATATTTTGGTTAACTAATAGTATCTATGAATGTACAGATAAATTATTAATAAGATATTTACAATTGCAGATGTATGTATTATATAGACAGAAACATACTGAAATTTATTTTCATGTTTATATGGATCTTTGTGAAGTTATAAATTTAGTTCTAATTATTAACACTGCTCCATAATGTACGCAAACATTGATAACTGGGCATAACAGGTCATGTGTTAATTACTGTTTCAGAATATTTTTATGGAGTGGTAAATTTTGATATTACATGTTAAAAAATGAAAATTTTATATTTAAATGAATTATGCCAGTTGTTTCAATATTTAACTTAATGAGTGAAGATAGATGATCTTTACAACTTTTTGTTTTGTTTTGACATAATGACAATACTTGCTACTTATTTTTGCAGCACCACTATCCAATCAAGGTGTGTTTGGACACAGTAGGACATATTGACAGTAGTGGTGACATACTGTCAAGAGCGATAAGGCTCAGATTACATTTTCAGTGGCTAAGTGGCTAAACTGCTGTACCATAATTAATTTCCATTTATGAAATGGGTGGTTTAATAGAAAAGAATTTGTAACTTCCTTGCACAATATAAATTTTAAATCACTATTAAACCACAGATCAACAAAAACATAATGATTTGCATTTTATTTGATAAGTAAAACTTCTTAATCTGTGGTTGTCATAAACATTTCAAAGCATACTTGTTTGGAGCATTGTTTATTTTGTGTTCCTGCACAAGGTCATCAGTTAATAATTCTACACCATTTTATTGCTGTCATCATCAGCAGATTTGGTAATGCAAGTACTGGTTAAAATGTTTGGGTTTTTTATGAACAATATTGTTCAGATGTATAGTTTTAATTTCACATTCCAGATATTCCCAGAAGAGCTTTTTTTTTTTGCTCTGACGGAGGTTTATGTTTACCTTCTGTTTCTACTAAAAGAAAAATTTTGTTCTCAGCAGACATCTTCAATCTCCTTCACACTTGCCCTCTCTCACTTAACACTGCTATGAAATTACACTGTAATTTTCTGGTTTGCTCTAGTTATAACTTAGCCAGTATTTGTGAGATTGGAATGCAAAATCTTTGGTTTCAGTCGGGCTTTGTCTTTCTCCATCATGCTTAATTTTTTAAAGATAGTTTTCTGAAGATGAGCCCCTATCAACATAGTGTTTTGTTTAAGAAATAATTTATTATTTAAGAGTGGTAAGCTTTATGCCTTAGCTTTGAGAAAGATGTCAGTTTGGAGCTTCTTTACTGTTTCTATTTGCAAATAGCATATTGGAGTTTTTTGTACAATAGCTAGCAAGTTCTTCCTTCAATGTTTTCATAGGAAGGGAGATGGCAAGAGGAAGTAAGTTTTGATAAACCTCTCAGGTTGTCTAGGAGGTTTGTTAATTCAAGGGAATCATTAGCTAGTTCAGTGAGAAACATTATGTTTTCGTGTTGAAAATGATACCTGTGTTCACAATAGTCAGAATTTCTAGCTACTTTTCACGTTATGAAATCATCTAAATTTTTTAATGCATTTCTAGGAGTCACATTGCCGAAAGGAGATGATTGAGGAGAGGTATATGAGATATAAAGACATAGTGACTTCTTTGCAGCAGCAGCTGGAAGATTCAAAGCAAAGAGTCAGGCAAGTCAAGGTATGTGTGTGTACTCCACTTCTCTGTCCCAATTACTTTCAGCAACATAACCTTACCTTATTAACTCCTAGTACAAACACAGACTGAAATCATGCATGTTCTGTTTCATATGGCTGGCATGGCTGATGGCATGGCAGGTATATTGACATGGCATGAAATTTGATGAATTAAAGATTGCCTTCATTGTAAGTGCCATGGATACTTTCCAAAAAATCTTTAAACTTTCACAGAAAGGTATCTTATTGTGTCGTACTACTCTGAAGTGTTTACATGCTTTGTCAAATTACTGTCTGCAGCAATTTTTTAATTGTTCATTTTTCTCTTGTCCATTCAAGTAAAAGATATAGAAACCTGTTTCCCCTATAAAAAGGTTGACTAATTTGTAAATTACATGTAGTAATTCTTCAGTAGTTGATATTTCCATTCTTTGCAAACAATTCTGTATGATGTCTCTTTCATACAGAAATTAAATCCAGGCAAACAGCAGGGAAGTGATTTGCTAAAGGTCACTCACTGGACTTACAGCAGTGCTAATCATGAATAACTTAACTCCCTACAATACAAATCCAGTGCTCTTCTTTAGAAACTTTGCCTGTAATGAGTTCAACTTTCCAATTATTAACATGCTTTCTTTCCTTTACTAGCTTGTTCATTGTCATATCATTGTCATTGTGATAGTAGCTTACTTCAGCAGAACTACGATTTCTTATGGAAGTGTTTGAAATAAGTTATCAGACCTGAAGAATCATACTAGTATTTCTGCTACATGTCTCAATCAAATCAGTTTCTTTGGCAATGCATCATGCCTGTGTCTCTAAGCAAATGAGCTCAAATCAAGGGTCACACACTCTATGAAAAAGATGTTTGTGTTCCCCAACTTATATGTAATCGTCTTCCTTCTGTAAAATGAGGACATACTTGTAGCATGTCTTTTAAAAAGTGGAAAAGGTAAAATAAATACAGAATGTTATAGCTTGGTAAGTTGCTGTTGTCAGAAGGTACTAACTTACTTGAAAAAGCCATCTTGATCTTCTGTAAGAAAGAATTGAAAGGAGGAAACAGGCACAATCAGTATGCTGCTGGTGATAATCTTCAGTATCTTGAATTTCTCTTCCCTCCACAGAAGCATTACTAAATCAGTAACTACTGAAATTTGGAAAACATTGAAAAGCTAAGTGGAATGCAATCAGCTGACAGTAGAACATAACATTGCACTAAGCTGACTGAACTTACTGAGCTTGTGTGATTTGAACTCAGTAATCAGAATCCAGTACAAAGCTTATTCCAAAACAATTCTCTTTCTTTAGACAGCCGAGAGCATTTAATGGTTTCCATTTAGTCAGGCCTAATTGGGTTTTTGCATGACATACAGTACTCTTTGCTGTCACGGCTGTTGCAAATAGAACAGAATGTTCAAAACCAAGTAACAGACGGGTGCTAATCTGATTTCAGTGATCAGGCTAGCTTAGACTAAAAAAAACCTTTTTAATGCTTGCCTTTCTCACCCTCATTTGAAACTAACTCAAATGCCTTTTATTTATTTATTTATTTATTTTAGTGTTTGGCAGTTGGGAGTCTCTAAAATTGATTGCTGGAAGAGTGTAGGTTTGAGGACACCAAAGTTGATTCTTTCTGATATTGTTGGTTCACCCTGTATACATATTGCCCCTGCTATACAAAGTAGACAGATACTTGTTAGGTGATAAGAAAATTCATGTTTCTTATAAAATTTTTACATTGATCATTTTAGATGAAATTACTTCTGAAGTTAATATTTTTCCTCTGTTATGTTTTTCTTTCTAGCCTTTCTTATAATACACTTGCTTCAGCTTGCTCACCAGCATTGATGTCAGGCAGGCATTATCTAATCTTGTGTCTCAGTCTTTTTTTCATTTTAAGGAGGAAAAATTAAACCAAAGTTGAATGTTTCTCTAAAAGCAGGTCTTTTTCTTTCTTTCTTATGGTTTCTTTTGTCCCCACTCAATCTTCCTACTCTTCTGTAATCTCGTCAGATGGCTTTAAAATGCCTGTTGCTTAGAAGCCCAGAAAATCATAATTTCTTTTTGTATGTTTTAAAATGGAAGATTTCCAGTAGTAAAAGTAGGCCATAGGCTGGCAGAATACCATCAGGTACAACAATCTTGATTTTTCAAATAAGGAAGGGCCAAATAATAGATAAAGGTGAAATTGGGGGAAAACCCCATAAATATAACATATTAAAAGAAAATAGCAACAGAAGCAAAATTAAAGCAGAAAGCCAGAGGAAAACTAGAGATAAATATTTTGATGTAGAGATTCAAATATTTTAGGAGAGTTTCCCTGCCACACACTATTGACCATCTACTCAAACACAACAGATGTGATTGTCAATGAAGCATATGACAAAAGGCATATTATACATTAATATTTCTGTAAAAAGAAAGCCATTTTGTATTGCAGGTACTGTTAGAGGCGCCTTTCTTGTTTAAAGCTCTTCTTTTAAAGCATTTCTGGAAGCAGAATAGAAAGACAAAAACTTTTTATTCTTTAAAAATTGTTATTGTGCTATGAACACTTTAGCTATTAAGTCTCTCATCAACACATAAGGGGATTAATATGTATAGTTCTCATTAGTCTTAACAGGAGTAGATCCTTCTTCAGTGATGGAACAAAAGCTTATTGTATCTCTAAATTAATGTAAATTTTTTTTTTGTTTAGTTTTCAAATCTTATGTATCAACATAAAATTAAGTATCAACATAAATGATAAATTGCAAGATGTTTTAACAAAATTCCCTGAAGCTTTTTATGATAAGAATTCAGCAGTAAAATTGTGTGTTTTGTGAATTGATGCATTTATTCATTATTACATCTTCTCATTTCAAGAAACTGAGTAATTTGGATACCAAGCCAAGCTTTTAATCTTATTTTGGATGGTATTGTAACTGGGGACTACTTGCTGCAGAGCTAATAGAGATTTTTCAGGGATTTTTGTCTAAATTACCTTTTTAAATTTATCTTCTCTTTTTAGCTTATAGACCAAATGACTTTCCTCACCAAGAAGTTATGCTGTATGGGTTTAGCCATAAATAGTAACATTGTACTTAAAACTTTATTTTATGGTTTAACAAAAAATTTCAAAGCACCTTTAGGTATTTTGATATGAGAAATCAATGAACTTTAAGTTTCCTCAGTGTCAGAGAAAATAGATTTGTATTTATTACTACTTGTGGAACTTCAGTGAATTAGTATGAACCATTCATTGATGAGGAAGTCATTATTCACTGATGTCTGCCCTGCTGATATGGTATGTGCTGAACTGTGGATGTGATGTGAATAGGAAAGAGCATTTTTACAACATGCTGTAGTGGCAAAGACTTGCAGTGCTGCCAGTGCTTTTCTCAAGGCAAAGCAGTTTTTTGCAGACATTTATAGTGGTGAAGTGGGGATAAAACTTGTAAGCAAATTAATTTGAACCTAAGTGCAATACTGAGAATGCAGAGAATTCAAATCAGGCTTTTCCATTGTGTGTGAAATCACAGCATATGCCTGTACGTGTGCTACTACTTTTTGTTAAAGTTTTCCGCTGCTTGATAGTAACAGATAAAATTATTTTTATTTGGTTCCCATAGGATGTGAAAATGGATGCTGCAATTTCTGATGTAGAAGTGGCTGCTCACTCTTCTAGCTGGCGAACTCAAAACAGCTTTTTGTGCAGCTCACCGCTTTCAAGTTCAGGTTGTAAGTATTATATCACAGAAAAAAAATCTACAGGTAACATATATTTTTCTTCCTGGATGAGTGAGACGCTACTTTTCAAAAAAAAAGTGCTGGAACCATCTTAAGTATCCTTCTGTGTATTAGGTTTTTTTGTTGTTGCCTAGGAAGTACTTCATTGCATCCCACTGACAGTTGTTTGGGGTTTTTTGACTGGTGCATTCAATATATTTTGTTTATGTATGCCAAAGAAAAGGGCTGCCCTTGAATTCTGAATCTCTGCTTAACGAGTCATACCTCTGTAAGCTGTGTAGACCCTCTGGTCTTCTGAGGGACTCGAGAGCTGTCCTCAAACATGGATTCTTTCCAAGATCTTTAATGTGTACCAGTTAGTCTCATGCTTGTGTAGCATTTTCTCAGTGAAAGTTGAATTCACTAATTCTACTTCAATAGTTTTTTTTACTGTTTTTTCTCTACCCCCTTGTACATATACAGCTTGTGTTCATGTGAAGTCATGGGATCTCTGATACAGTTGGAAAATGCTCAATAAAACATAGGGCGTATTGGGTCTTGATTGGGAATGTAGGCACACCTTTGCATGAGTGTCAAAAGTGACTTAAAAACCAGGTTTTTAAGGGGGTTTTTAAGCATATCAGTACATGGATATCAAAACACTTCTCTTCAGAAGGGTATAATCTTCCATTTATTTTCAGTATAGCCAGTTTGTGTATTGGGAACATATTTAGAAAGTTACATTCTATTGAAGCCTCTTTCAGGCTTCATTGCACTTTGAAAACATTGCATCTTAGAATGAGTGCTGTGGTACATTACTGCTCACCAGTAAGTCCTGAGCTGATCTGATGAGGTTAAAGGTAATTGGTTTCTCTTCCTTTCAGAATGGGTTGGGGTTAGTATCTTTTACAGAGCACACTGAATAACAGTAGTGGGAATAAAGCATAGGAGCTAATACCTCCATATCATCTGTACTTTAGGAACACTTTACCTTGTCTCAGAGTTGGTTTTTCTGTTTTCCCAAACCTCCTCCCTATCAAAGTCTTACAAATCAAAGTGCAGCTGAACCTGTTTTGGGTATAGAAAAGAAGTAACTGATGCCTCACAGAATGTTCAGATAAATGGCCTCCAGCAGTCCCTTCCAGTCTAAAGAATTCCAAAAGTGGTCACTGCAAAAATTTACTGAAATTTAAAAATGCCACTTAAAAGTTCCTAAAATATTACAATGTCTTTATACTGTTTTAATCTGAATTAAACAAGCTAAGACTTTGTTGCTTTAAAACTTTTTAATAAATTTTAGGCAGTTTTAAGAGAAATAGGATCCATGAGATCTGAATACCAATCTGATGAAACAGTTGTGCATATTTATTCTCTGATTCAACTGGTTTTTACCAGCACTAAGTACTAAATTTTCTGGAAATAAAAAAAATAAATTATTAACAAAAGACAGTGGTCAATTCACTACTTATTGCTTATAGCACTGAAATATGTGGATTATTCCACAGACTTTGGTTTTTGACTGATTGTTACTTTATGCTGAAACTGATTTCCACCAGTCAAATGTGTATTTTGAAGTTGTTGGTATAGTTCTTGAGGGCAGTGAAAATTCTGCTGTGGTATTAGCATTAAGGAGATTTTTCAGGGGGTGGCAAATGAAAAGTCAGCTACTTCAATCATGATAGTCACAAAAACATAATGAACTTTAAATTTCAGTAATGATATTAATTAATTATCATTTGAGACTTTGACACTGAAGTATAATTTGACATCTTTGCTCCCAAACCTACTGTAGCTTTTAATAAATCTTCCTATACATGTCATCATCTATTTTCTGTGATTAATTGTTTCCTCCTTCAGAAACAGAAGGATGGAATTTTTTTTCTTTCATTTGCCTTTTGGAGCAGTGTACAAGCCTTTGTGATTTATATTTCCCCATTCCATCTCTCTTCAACTCATGAAGCCTTACAGACTATAGATTCAATAACTAGTACTAGAAGCTTCCTTCCCAATGTGGATCTCCTATGACTTGTGGAGAGCACCTGGAAGGAGAGCAGAGTCATTTGATATGATTTAACTTATTTGTGAGGGAGATAGTGGGATTTAAGTTTAAAATTGGTTGACGAAAGAAGGACAAATTATATGGAAAAAGAAATAAGGGAACAACAATCTGTTTCCGTATATATATATATATATTTACTAAAAATTTGCCAATGCAGCAAGCAGCTAAAAGGAAAGTAATTAACATCAACATTGTGTTTTGTTTCTGATATAATTTCTGCAATTATAAAAGCTTTTGCATTACAAACATATTTTAAAATATGTTGAGGGAACGCGCTTTTATTTCTGTACCCATTTTCTTGGAAATTAAGAAGTTGAAATGAGAAAATAATTTATTCAAGAAAACATTCACTAGATATGGTTTGCAGTCTATATTATTATCAGACCAAAATGATTAGTCCAGACAGTCACTACTAGTTGTTATCTAAAGAATAATCCTCAGAAACTGTTTTTACGGCCACTGTATTTTCCTGAAATTTTGAGTACAAAAGTCCCTAGAGTTGCACATGCTTTGCATTAGCTTTGTGAATTGAGTCCTGCTTTTCTCTTTGCACATTTCATCACTTTGAGGTTTTTAACCTGGATGGTTTCCCAGAAACCATATGTCTTAGAGGCTTTCTATTGTTGTTGGGAATTTATGTTCCAGGGCTTCATAAGCTGTGATGGACAACATTCTTGTGTCAACATCGTAGGAAGTAGGACTGACACCACAACTGAATAAAACTGAGTTGTCCTGAATGTAGGCTTTATTGTCAGAACAATTAACTTTTGCACTGTATTGCTGGTGCCTGTCTTTATCTCTCTATGTACACTTTTTCATAAGTTCTTAAGACTATTTTTATTGGCATTTATAAATAATGTAACGTACTTACAAGTAAAGAAACATTGCAACATCGCTATGCTGTGGGCACCCTTCTAGAACAAAACCTAGGGCTGCTTAAACATAAGAACTTGGAATGACTGGAAACTTGACATCATCACTTAGAAAAATGCAAATTGAATTAGTTAAGCAATGAACGTTCTTTATGATTTTTTGCCTTACTTTGAATACTGTCCACAGGAGGTACCACTGACATAGCGTACAGCAGCAGAGCTTTGAACCAATTCTGAAAACTTGATGCTGAATACTTAGAACTCACTGTAATACCAATGTTCCAAACACAGTGATTTCATTCTTCTGAAAGTGAAAACATCTCACCCCTACTAACCAAACTGTGAAGTCTTGCTCCTTGTTAAATAACTTTTGGTTATGTACTGCTACAATTTTACTGGATTGTTAAAAACTGCACTCTGGATATTCAGTAGGACAACTTTTCTTACATGCTTGTGCTATAAAGAAGGCAATTAGAAGAAGGGTATGTTGTATAAGCTGCTAGCCACTTTCTTCCCTTAATTTCTACCTTTTATTAAATGTTTGGATATTTGACTTTTTTTCTTCAGCATTTTTTGATAAGATGTTTTGTCAATTCATATTGTTTGCATTTTGATGCAATATAATATATTTAGAAAGATTCACTATATATGTACCCTGCTGTGAAGGTATGTACACAGTATGACATTGTATGAGCACCTGTTCAGTGTCACTTGGTGACTTAAGTCCATTCTGTTGGTAAAGATATTCCTTCACAAATTTTTGAGAGGTTTGTCTTACCTTATTTTAACAAATGTTCTGGAAAAATAAATGGAAAATATATCTTAGTGAAAGAATTAAATATTTTTAAACAGTACATTTCTTATGTATAAGAAAGCTCACGGCTATGCCTGTATTATAAAGTATTAAAATCTATTTCTCTAGAAAACAGAGAAAATATTCTCTTCTCAGTTATGAATATTTATTACTTGCTGAATAAATTATAATATCATATAATGAAATACATGTTTTAAATAAAAACTAATGGGCAGTCAACGAAAACCAAGAATCATAGGTTTGAAAAGACCTCTAAGATCATTGAGTCTAACTGACTTAATGTATGATTCTGAAGATGCTTAATCACCTTTTTTGTGTGACTTATTTCCAGCACTTAGGAAAGGAATGGTTCCTTTGGATACAAGTGGCACCAAGGAAGATTCTACTAATGTTGCTGTTAGTGAAATGAAGCTGCAAGCAGACGGAGGAAAACAGTAGAATATTGTATGAAACCACACCAGTTTTCTTTGTGGTAAATTCCATTCCACTTTTTTTTTGGTTTTGAACAGTAGTAGTTCCATCTGCTGCAGGAGTGGTGCACCCTTAATGATTCAACAATTGCCAAACACTCAAATGAAAGAGCATCAAGAGTGATTTTGATGAACTCTTTTGATAATTTAGGTGACTTGCACACCAAAGGCTTTCTGAGATTTTGCTATTCTCTTGTAATTTGTTTTACAGTCCTCTTAGATTAAATTTATTGTATTCCTGAAGTACTGTGAATACCTGTGACATTAATCTTTGCTATGAGCTTATTTACCCCTATACAGGAATTTTTCTGACACTTGTTTTTTAATTATGTTTAGTAACATTATTAATAATGAAAAAATAATAATGAATTTTTTTTCATTATTAATAATGAAAAAATTCAGAAATTGCCTATTACTATGAGAGAGAGTAATTATACAGTGTTGTACAGGCACATTTGTGATTTTAGGTCCCTCCGTTTGAAAAAAATTATTTAAGAAAGAAGTAATAAAACAAAATTTTCTCAAAGCAAGTAAAAATTGGCTTGAGGCTCAGCATATATGTGTTATAAGTTGCTAGAATTATTCTTCTGGCCAGAACAGTTTTATAAGATGGCCTCAATCAAGTACTTTAAAGAATTTGAATCTCTCCCATCTGTATCAAGAGTGTTGAAAGGCACTTCTGTGTGGCTGTGAAAATTTTAAAAGCAATGTTTAATGTTCATTTATTTATTCTGTTTTGTTCTCTATTAGAGAAGACGTGTTATATTGATTGTAAAATACTATGGAAATACAATATTGCACATTTGTATTTGTTCAGATATCACTATTCCAAACAAATTGGACACAATTTTGCATTACAGGGGTCTCAAAGAGCAAATCAACGAAGAATTTTCTAAGAATTCTGCTGTCTAAAGAAATGCAAGTGTTTCTGATGGTTCTTGTTTTATTCTCCTCTCAGCTACTTCTGACTTGATCAGTGCTACTGTGCCTTAAAAGATTTGCCAAAGCTATCAGAGTACTGTAGCAACATTAACACCATTCAAACAATTTTGTTTTGCAGGCTTCTGTCATATTTAGGAAGCCTATTTCTTCTCTGAAACACTGTTATTTTTTCGCACTGTAGGTGTCTCAGGTATAATTCACAGGCCATGATGTGCCATCTCAAAAGAGGACTTCTTTTTTTTTTTTTCCCAATACTCTGATGAAGTGTTCTGTAGTCCCAGTGGATGCTCTGGAAAGTGCACTTCCTTGACAATCACCTTGTCTTCAACCTGTTTCAAACAGAACAATATACTGAGAACATCAGAATCAGACACAGAAATGAGACAAAGATTGAGTTTATTCTCTGTTCATATTCCATGAACTTAAATTGCTTAAAATGTTAAAAAAAAATCTGACATGGTTAAAAAGTTTTCTTTGCCTTTTGTTGTGTATTATGCTGTGCATGGTAGCACTGGCATTGGCTTTTTGCAAATTTCTGGCACATCTCCTCATTCAGAGGGTCAAGAAAACAAAACAGGCACATCCATCTGTTCTGATCTCAATGGCAATGACAGGAACTACAAAAAAAATCAACAAATAAACTGCTCTCTACAAAGAATGTGGATGTCATGAAACAGTGTTAGATCGAGCTACAGCTACTATAAACTAAACTCACTTTAAGTGGATCCAAGATTTGTAATTTATTGTTTTTATTAGATCAGAGCAGAGGTGGAAATATGTCATTTAAAACATTTGAACTGGTTTGGTCTGCTGAAACTTTAAAAATTGCAAAACTAAATGTCACCAGCTTGCAGACTTTATGGTACCTACAAATTAAGGCTAAAGCATAGAAAGGTCACTTTAAAATATACTATTAAGCAGTAAATCATGTTCTCAAAACACCTTATGTGGGAGTGAGGTCTAGTGCATGGATTGCTGATGGATAACTGTTTTACCAAAGTTTAAATGTTTTTTGTGACATGGAAGTAAATAAATGAGCCTTTGAGAGTCTTGGCTGAGAAGTAATACCAGAAATATAATGTCCTCTCTTTTTCCTAAGGAATTTGTAAAAATCATACCATTCTATGTGTTTATACATTTTTTTCTGACTTGTAATTTAGAAATCTGAAATATGTATTCTTAAAACAGGATCACTACTGCTTTATGTTGTTAGAAAGCTAAGGATAAGCAGTCTGATCTCCCTCACTATTACATCAAGTATTCAATCGACTTTTTATATAGGACAGAAGTTACTACTGGGTGAACAATTCTGCCTTTAAAACTTTAAGTATGTTCAGTGCTTAGTATATTTGCCTTTGCCCATGTGACTGGATTTTCATCAGTTTTATATCCTTTTATAAAATTTTCTAAAAGGGGTGGAAGTACAGAAGAGATGTCAAACCACACACACACACAAAAAAAATCTTACTGAGTATACTTATGGACTCCAAAGCCAGGAAATTCTTTCTTAAATTTACCCTTTTGGCATGGCAGTCTAGATAGCGTGTAATATTTGTCTCACTTCCACCTTTGATAGAGGTTCATATTACAAAGTGAATTTTGTTTCCTCTTTACTGAAGGCTAAGGTTCCGTTCATGACATTATATGAAACTGTCCCTTTGTGGTTTAAGAAATAATATTTTTTCCATATTGGTCTGAAATAATACTCTTCTGCACAGTTTCAGTTTTTAAAGTAGAAAAGCAGATAATTTTTAAATAAAAGTTTTTGTATATTTCACATCTTAAAAATTGCTGTCCCTTCTGGTAGCCAGATTTTTTTATAATTTAACCCTTTAATGACCTGTTACGCAGTTCTTATCCTAAGCAGTGGTTTTCAGTAATCAAAAATGTGGTATTGCACACACAAGAAATGATGGTTTAAATCTTTGTTCTGTTTAGCATTTGGTAAATCAGGCAATTTTTAATGTATGTACTAAGTACATACAGATTTTATAAGCTAGTATCAGGATTTTTTTTTAATGCTCTACTGAAATACAGTGCTTCAATATTGTGCTTTTAAAAATGCATTGGCCCTCTATTTTAGCATCAAATAGCTGTCACATGAATAAGCTATAAATTTTATGCCCTTCAGTTCCTAATGTTTTACAGCAGACTTGAGAGTATTTAATTACTTTCCAGATTATATTTACTAAATAGCCAAATAATTTATTTTTATTGCGTAATTATGTTATCCTAAGAAGAAATGTCAAAAAAAAATTTTAAAAATAAAATTTTACAGTGCAAAACAAAGCAATTTTCTTACATTTGCTTCTCAAATGTTTGATGAAAACCGTCATCAGTGATGGTGAATGTACTCCTTGGATATTCAAAGCTCAGCCACATTTTTACTAACTATTACAGCAAAGTAAAAAAATATATATATATGAAAAACCCATACAACAAAGAAACTACTATTCTAAATTCCATTTCTGAGCTAAGGAATCTACATATCAGTTCATCTCTGGCTTGCAAGGCATAGTCTCTGCACTGGTAGTACTGAATGGTTTTTCATGAATGAAAATGCCAGTATTACTCTGAAAGGAAATCAGTAGGTATTTTTGTTACACTCATAATTTTTATGGCTAAAAATGAGAAGTCTGCAACCTGGATGCATTCTCATATCTATAACATGGAGAAAAATTTTTTCATAAATTTTTGTGGCACTGCTTGTTACAGTCGAATTTTACAGTATCTGTGTTAAACTCCTTGTGTCTGCAGTGTGTTAGTAATGAATTTATCTCTTTCTAAGCCCTTGTCACCCCACAGAAGTAATTGATGCTGAAGTTAGTGTGAGCTGCAGGTCAATAGCTGACAGCACAGCCTTGTCAAAAATGGATGTGCAGGAGGACATCACACCAAGTCCTGTGATTTTGATGTAATTGTAGAATTTAGAAGCAATTGTAGAGGAAAACTAACAGTAGAAGGGATGAAAAGCAATTAATGATTAAATTAAAATTTCAGCACATTTTTATTCTTGTTGCCTAGCTTAAAAACTGCCTTATAGCTAATATTTACATCTGAATAAAAGTGATCCCTAAATCAAATTCCTTATTGGATAATTTTTTTTTTCATGCTTAAGTACTTTCAACTCTAGCACGTCTTAACTCTTTACTGTAAGCATGTCTGGGCTGCTGTGAATATGAACTTAATTGCTTTTCTATGTAAATAACTAAATTAGATTTTAAATCTGAACAATATTTTAGTGCTCTGTACAAGAGTACAACATGGCAGAATCCAATAACCAAGTCATTCAAAAATCTGCAATGCTTCTGGGAATGTTGACAGCAAAAATGATGGACATTGCTGTGGTTAAAATCTAGCAACATCCAACTGTTATCATTTGTGCTAACAACAATAGCTCTCCTGTTTCTAAAGCTGAAGTTGCACTTCTGTCATTTTTCTGTCTGAAATAATGAGATTTTTTTTCTTTTCCCCTTATAATGACAAAATCTGTAGTGTGAGAATATGCAGTGATGATATTTTTAAATTTCTAGTCTTTTTTTTTTGGGAATCTATTGGGTGCTATTTGGAACTAAATATTTTTGTAACGTGGTTGTTAACATGTTTTTGTTAAATTATTACATTTAAAAACATGAACTCCAAGGAGATGTCTCTTTTAGGATAATTTTACTGTCTGTTTTTAGGGACATGGCTCCTTGATAGGCGAGTAAGTACAACAGTTGTTCTTGAGTAGTCTGTTATTTTCATCTCTCTTCAGACCAGAGTTGTTTTGATGTTAGACTGCTTTTCTCATCTGCCATCTACAGTGCACTAGTGTGTCAGAAGACATACCATCATTTCCTCACCTACCCACTGTCAATAATTTTGGTAGTTTATGTTCCCATAGAATTACATTAGTGTTGATGGCAGTTGCTTCTTCTAAGCTCTTTTCATATGAACTCTGACCCTCTTATTTGTTTCATAAAATAAAAGCTACATAGTAAATGGACTAACATCATGTCACATACTGTCTAATTTTAAAGATTATTCCACAGGCCAAAGTAAATGTCTCTTACTACATTTGTCTAGATTTTTTTCATTTTGCCAGCATTGATTCTACCATCAGTTTGTAGAAGAAAATGGTAAAGGATAGACTTTGCTGCAATAACCCTGAAATATTATTGATTTGAGGCAAAAAATTAGACTACAACAAATGTAGGACATCTGTCTAAGTGCTTAGTCTGGAACTTAAAATACTCATGTTAAAAAGTGTGTTTCTTCAGTGTGTTAATATCAAATCATCTTCCTTACAAACAGTTGCTGACACCGAAAATATTTTTGAAAAGTGATACTGAAATTTGCTAAAGATGATCAAA